TGAGTGTAATATCAAGAAAAGTTCTTGAAATATTTCCTTATAAAATATATATATTCTATACTATTGAAAAACCGAGAAGTTTCTACTAGCGAAGAAGCTGTCGTCGGAACCCGATTTCGAAAGGTGGATACGTTTAGAGGGAAGACACGTGGATTCCTAAAGCGAGTAACCACAAGCACAAGAAGTGAAGTGACGTTACCAATCCGGAAACCGATTTCCTCAATCCATCTACGATTTTGAAGGAGTTCAAGATTAACGGTAAATATTGTACTACCTCCTTTTTTAAATAAATGTCGTTTTGACTTTTTTGATTCATCTATTTTGCTATGTATTTAGACATTAATATGTATAGATACATAGCAAAATAGATGAATCAAAAAAGTCAAAACGACATTTATTTAAAAAAAAAGGAGGGAGTATTTACTATCAAACAAATCAAAATTTGTATTATTACATGTTTTTAAAGATGACGATCTGTTAATTCGCCATATGTATGTACGAGATATGTATTTAATTGTTAAATACATGTTTTAAGAATTTTTTAAATTCCGCTGCATATAGCTCGTACGGTACAGGCGAACCCAACAGTGGTATCAGAGCCATGGTTATCATCTTTAAAAATAGATTTTGATTTGTTTCATGTTTATATGATAAACAAGATAATTAAATGTTTATTTGATAAACATATTAATTATAAAATAAAAAAAAAATTGCAAAACAAGTCGCGAATTCAAATTTTTCGAGCCCCAGTTTATCGCGAGTCGCGAGATCCATGTCGCGAGTCGCGAGATAAGTCGCGACATGTTCGCGAGTCGCGAGTTTTTCTGGATTAGCCTCTGTTCGTCTCGCGAGTCGCGAGTTGAGGTCGCGAGTCGCGACATGGAGTCGCGAGTCGCGAAAGTCGCGAGTCCCGACTTGATAAAAATAAAAAATAATTTTTTTTTTATTCATGTGATGATTGTTTTTTAAGGATGATCATGAGCCTAATACACATAATGATTGAATGTTTGCATGTTTTATTCAATATGGTTGAATGTTGTATATTATTCAATAAGATTGAATGAATGTAATTTATCGAGACCTGCGAGTCTCTTGAGATTTGATTTGTAAAATCTTAAATTTTTATATCGTTAGAAAGATTAGATCAAAGGTGGAGACCGTTCGATGCGAAAGACCCACGATAGTGTGGGTAATTTTACAAGTTGAAAATCTCGAAGGCCTGTGCTTGTA